TGATCCTTCAGAAATCATTCTAATATGCTGATTTGCTGCTCAAGAAACATTTAAGATTTTTAGCAATGTTGAAAACAGTTGTTCCACTTCATATTTTTGTGGAAACAGTGATACATTTTATTTTTCAGATTCTTTGATGATTAGAAAGGTCAAAAGAACAGCATTTATTTGAAATAGAAATCTTTTATAAACACAATATTTGATCAATTTAATGCATCATTGATGAATAAAAGTATTTATTTTAGTGCTGTCACATGCATGTATATATTTAAGAAAAATGTTTTGTTAATATATAAAATATTAATATATATATATATATATATATATATTTTAAATATATACATGTATGTTTGTGTATTTATATATACATAATAAATATACACGGTACACACAGATATATTTTGTAAACAAAAACTTTTATTTTTGATTTTTTTTTAATCTACATATTAATCAATCCCACTTGTGATTGCATTTACAGTCTTTGGTAGAATTCTGTTAAGGTGCTTACACAGAAAACGAGAATATAAAATATATAGGCATTAGGGCTGCCGTTAGTCGACTAGAGGCACTTTGCTTTCCATACACTTTAATTACTTCTTCATATACCACAGCAAAAACTATAGTCTGAGAAAGTTCAAACAAGTTTAAAGGCAAGTGAACAGTCAGTAAAAAAAAAAAGAAAGAAAAAGGGGGAAAAAAGAACAAATACACAATTTACAAGCATAGATAAACAGTAGTACAGAAATGTATTAATTAAGTGTAAAATAACACTGCATAGTGTTCACTGTATGAATTAAATTTAGATTATTCTTTGTTATAGCTGTTTTGTTGTTTGATTAACATTAGTGACATATTCAGCAGCACGTATTTATAGGCTGCTGTCCGACTGCATGGATCCAGTATAATGATACACATCCAATTTCTTTCTCAGCTGTGTACATTCATTTAAAACATAACTGACTGCGTTTACGAGAATGATCGTCGAGACAGGTACTATTGACATAATTCTGTGTGTATGTGTCTGTTCAAACATGAGGAGATGCGAAAGAGGAAACACGTCTGAAACACGTCTCTTTGTGTGTGTGCGCGCGTGTGTCTTTGCATGTGTGCGGCAGAAGAGACGCTGTGCGAGATGTGGCTTGTGTGCGCGCTTCAGGTGTGAGTCAGACAGCAAGACGAGACGGCAATGAGTTGTTTTCTGCAACTTACTGCACTTAACTCTTTTTAACTCTTTATATAGCAATTCTCTGCTATATGCGTCGAACTAAAACTTTGACCTTTTGCAACGTTTTGATTTAAGTAGCCTATTAATTCAGATATCGCACACCGTTGCGATATGCATATCACGATATTTACATTTGCGATATATCGTGCAGCCCTAGTGTCAGTGATGGACAGATCGTTAACAACTGGTCCTTGAGGTAATTACAGTAATTACGTAAGTAAGATTAATATATCTAAACTGTCAAGGGGCTTTTTGTTTTATTACACTCACAATATCAATAAGACGCTGTACTTCTGTAAAGTAAAGAAAACAAACAGGACGTGCTTTTTGCCGTCCCTGTCTCCGTGCACTGGAGCGCGGCACAAAACTCAAGTATGGCGAAACTCGGTGTATAGGCTACTTGACTCACAGAAATGAGAAATATATCTACAGAAAGCTTGACATGTCTACTTTTAAATGAACCAATTCAAATCAAAAACAAATTATGTAATCTGTATGAAAGGTGCATATCTTTTTTTTATTGTAAGTAGCTGAAGGGTACGATACATACAGTACATAGAATGTAAACAAATTTAATTATACATAGAACAGACATGACCATGAGATACACTTATGACTATAACACACATTGCTGAACACATAACGGGACAAGCAAACAGATCTACATAAGAAATACATATACTTAACTGTATACTCACTTTATTTAACATCTAATTTATCCGCACCTTGATTATATGCCTTGTTTCATGTTTCGGATTCAACTGTCCTGGAACTTTAGTAGAAGGCTCCATGTCTTTTCAAAAGCAGTCATTTTATTTCTAAGTGAGGCAGTCATTTTCTCAAGTGTTAAAGTGTCTATTAATATGTTGAACCATTGGGTAATAGATCATTTTGTTCTATCCTTCCAGTTTAATAGCATTACTTTTTTTTGCTAGTATGGATGAGGTAAAGTTAAACGTTTTTGTTTCTTTTGAAGAAATAATAGAAGGATCTCCCAACAGAAACACTGAAGGGGATAAAGAGAGATTAACGTCTAGAATCGTTTAAAATTTATGTAAAATTTCTGACCAGAATTTCTTTGTATATACAGTTCCAGAAGGAATGGATATAATCATCTAATCTATTTTGGTAGTATGTACAGGTATTAGTGTTGACAAGCCCATAAGAGAGTTTACTTTTGTGATATGTACTCGATATATAGTAATTTGTATTGTATCAACTGTATTCTGGAATTACCAGAGAAGACAAAAATATCTTTGCAAAGTTTTAAAAGTCTAGGTCCGTATATTCACAGTGACGAACATTATACCATTTATTTGTAGGTAGAGAACTTAGAGATCATTGGAGGCTAAGATATTATATATTTGTGCTAATAATTTGATACAAGGTAAAGATTTAAATTTTTAGTTCATGATTATGATTCACAAAGGTATTAATATTAAGTTTACTTTTTATAGCTTCCTTTAATTGTATGTATTGGTAGCGTGTATTTTCTGCAATATTGTTTTCTTTTGTTTTGTTTTTTTTGTAATTGTCATACAGTAAATAGTCATAAGTAGATCATTTTCTAAAATATCTCCCAAGTTTAATATTCATTTCTCTTTCATTTTTGGGAAGAGAAAATATTTTTTGTTGATAGTGAGCATGTTGTTATTCCATAATGGTGTCCAACTAGATGGTAAGGAGGTGAGATGCAAAAGACTGTTAGCTTTCCACCAGGCTAGTAGTATCGTGCTCATAGTGACATACAGTGGGTATAGAAAAGAATTACCTCCTTTAAATTAATCACATTTTGTTGCTTTGTAGCCTGAAATGAAGACAGACCGTTTTTGTTTTATCCAGCTGTATCCAGCTGCAACTTATAACATCCAAGTGAAAGATATAACACCAACATGCCATAAAAAAATTAAAAACAGAATAACTGAGTTGGAAAAAGGATCACCTCCTTGTGTCAGTATTTAGTTGAACCAACTTTTGCTTTAATTACAGCCTTTAGTCTGTTGGGATGTCTCTACTAACTTTGCACATCTAGACTTTGCAATATTTGCCCACTCTTCTTTGCAGAACTGCTCAAGTTCAGTTAAATTTGATGGAGATCGTTTGTGGACTGCAGTCTTCAAGTCATTCTACAGATTTTCAATGGTGTTTAAGTCTGGGCTCTGACTAGGTAAAGCAAGGACATTCACCTTTTTCTTCAACCACTGTGTGCTCAGTTTTGCTGTGTGCTTTGGGTCATTGTCATGTTG